GTTTGCCCATACTTTATACACAATAATGGTGATATCTGTTGTCCTTTACCAAAGTCAGTCAGTAGGCATTTTTAAGTGCCTACTTTGTGTCAGATACTGTGATTAACGCTGGAGATACAGAGAAAGACAAAAGACAGTTGTTGTTCTAAAAGAGTCCATAGTCTAACCAAGGAGACAACATGAAAAAACTATACAGACAAGATTTATACAAGATAAGTTGAAGATAATCAATAAAACGAAGGAATAGTATTAAGGTGGTTCAAGAAAGGTTTCTCATAGAAGATGGGTTTTTCACTTGGACTTGAAGCCAGAGAATACAAGAGGTGGAGAGGAGGAATGAGAGTATTCCAGGCATAGGAAACAACCATTGAAAATGGCCAGAGTCTGAGGAAATTGGAATGTCTTGTGCAAAGAACAACAAAGAGGCCAGAAGTAACTCTGAGGATGACAAATGGTTTTGGAAAATGTCTTTTAAGAATACATTTTTATTGGTATCTTTTTTTATCGCTTATATTTCTCTTCCTTCTTTCTTTGCCAGACAACCATCCTTTATAACAAAGAATGAGGGAGGAATAAAAGAAAAAAAAACTTTAGCAAAACTAACCAGTACACTGGAAAAGTCTGACGTTATCTGTCGAGTTCCATGTCCATAATCTCCTACTTCTGCAAAAAAGAGGAGTTGACTTCTTGTGTCTTCTTTGGGACCAAATTTGATTATTACAGTTGTACAGCATTCAGTTTTAATTGATTTGTTGTTGTTCTTTCCATTTACATTGTTGTAGTCATTGTGTTTATTGTTTTCCTGCTTTTTGCTACTTTGCTTCAATTCCTACATCTTCCTAGGCTTCTCTGTATTCATAATATTCATCATTTCTTACAGCACATTTAATATTCCTTTACATTTACTTACCATGATTTGTTTAGCCATTTCTTTGCTCCTATAAAAAAAAGTGATGCTATAAATATTTTGGTGTAGAGGGGGCCTTTTTATACTGACCTCTTTGTATTATAAGCCTAGCAATGGAATCTCTGGGTTAAAGGATTTGGACATTTTAATCTTCTTTGCATACTTTTAAATTGCTTTTCAGAATAATTGGACCAATTTGTAAGTGTTATTTCACAACCTCTTCAAAACTAAATTCTTTTTTGATCATTTTTGCCAATTTGCTGGATGTGAGGTGACACTTCAGAGATAGTTCGATTTTGAGTGAATTTTTAAAATTCATGAGCTCTAAATATATGCAAAGTGCTATGCTAAGCCTTGGAGATACAAAAAGAAATGCAAGGTAGTTCCTGGTCTCAAGAAGCTCACAGTCTCATGGGGGAGACAACACAGATAGGAGGAGTAAGTCACAAGTCATATGGAAAAGCCTAATGGTCCTTAGGGTACAGCGTCTGATCAAACCCATTCCTGAGCAAGAGTCTACTCCATTTTCCAGTCTGCCCACCATGTAGGAGTCAAATTGATATTCCTAGACTGCAGCTCTGACCGTGTCACTTCCCTGTTCAAGAAGTTTTAAGTGGCTCCTGTTGCCTCTGGGATAAGATACAGTTCCTCCATTTTAAGCTCTTAATAGTTTAACTTTCTAAATTGATAGGACATTACTCTGTATCACACAATCTAGACTATGGGCTCTTCTATCTGTGACCTAGCTCCTGCTTCCCTTCCCTCCTACAGCTGTTCTTTCCCCATCCCCTGACCCTCAATGCTCTCCTTCCTCACTTTTCCCTCATAAAATCCCCAGCTTCCTTCAAACACAGTTTAGGCTCCACTCCTTATAGGCCTGCAGAGGGAGCTAATAATCAGTCATTACAATAAATACAGCTATCATCTGAATAGATAGCCTGGTAGGTTAACTTTGGGGTCAGAAATGAACATTTTTTTTTAAAGATTGGAGAAAGCATTTATTTTTGTGCCAGGTACCACTAAGCACTTTGAATAAAAATACAAGCAAAAAGATGGTCCGTGTCCTTGAGAAGCTTACATTCTTTTTTTAAAAATGTTTTTACTGGTGTCTTCTATTTACATCATCCTAGTTATCTCTGTGTATTTTCCCCTTCCCTTCCCAGAGAGCCATTCCATATGACAAATAGCATTTTTAAGACAAAAAAAGGAAAGAAAAGAAGAAAAAAATCAGCACAGCTTATCAATACATGGACAAAGTATGAAAATATATGCAGTATGTAATACCTGTGGAGCTTGTGAGTTGGAGGTGTCCTCTCTTCATTCGTGTCATGCTTGATCTTTATAATTTTGTTACACTCACTTTTGATTTTTTTCATGTGGTGGTTTTTTCCATTTACTTTATAGTCAGGGTGTATATTTTTTACTTGGCTCTGCTTACTTCACTCTGCAAAGTATGGACAATAAAAGAAACTTCTTAGGATGGTTTCTATTCTCCCAGCACTAGTCTCCCAGACTTCCAAAACATGATGGAAAAGTAGAAAAGATGTGTAAACAGGGATTTCACCAAGTAGCCTCAGGCATGATGAACTTCAGACCATAGCAAGAAGAGGGAATTCATCATAGTCTTGCAAGAGGGTATTCTCAGGACAAGCATACCATTACCCCAGCTTCTCTCACTGGGATTCATGAGTCCAATGCCTTTCTGCTATTCTCTTGGTTCTAAGTGTTCGGTGGTCCTTCACTCTAAGCATGTATAGGATAGCTCAGATATCTCATAGAAAGAGGTGGAGTCCTACTCAAGTGGGTTTGATTGATTTCTCCACCTCTGAGGCCACAGACAAAGAAGTGCTAATCAGCTGGGAAACTGGAAGTATCTGGCTTGAATGGTTCTATGTATAGAAGATGCTGGATTTGGGGAATTCCAGAAAAGACGCAAGAAACAGGGACAGAGTATGGCTAGGTAATAGATAGCATACTGAATTAAGAAAGACCAGGACCAAATGTCCCAGAAGTTTTTCTAGACTACAACAATCTTGTAGGTAAACTAACTTCATATTCTAATTTTATTAGGCCCAAGTAACCTATTCAAAGTATTCTTTCATTAGTACTATTTGTGGCACTGTTTGTGGATCATAAAGAAATGTGTGGGTTAAATAAAATGAAAAATGATAGCTTGGACTTCTTGCTAAGATGCCTGTCTAAACAGGAGGTCTAATCAGTTCCCATATATCTACTCCAGAAAAAACCAAGAAGTTTGCATAACAGTGAATAAGTGATTCCGAAATCTGATAAGAAACTATAGTAGGTGACCTCTTCCACCCCAGAATTGCACAAAAAAAAATCAACCAGAAGCCAAATGTAAATAGGAAAGGGGTACCCTCAACAGGCCCCAGGTGAGGTCCCTAACATACTGTCCTGAGATGCTAGAAAGGGCCTTGGAGAGCTATCCCTCTGATTCTCAAATATCCAGGGGGACCAAGCCATTGGATGTGAAATTCAGCCCAAGAACCTGGGGGTGAGACCAAGCAGGGCCAACTATCCCACCTAAAAGTTCAGCATGAGGCAGAATTTGACCCTGGTACAAACTGCCAATTTCTGGAACTAAAACTGAGGAGATGAGTAAAAGAAAATTTAGTATCAAAATTTTTTGCAAATCTAACTCCAGAACTAAAATTAGAGACTCAAAAGAAAGGAAAATATTTTTTCCACAAGGAGGACCTAGAAGAAATGAAGTAAGAGACAAATTATATAAAAGTTCCTGAGGAAGGAATTAGAATGAGATTGAGTAGCTCAGAAGAGAAAATGGTAAACTTTACTCAAGTAAAAGAATTCCTGAAAACTATAATAGACCAAACAGAAATCAGTCACTCCATGAGATAGCAAGAAAATTATAACAAAATCAAAAGCTTAAATTTTAAAAAAAATCTGATATTTAAAAAAAACCCTGACCTAGAAAACAGATCAAAGAGAAATAACTTAAGAATCATTTGTATTCCCTCTAAATTATGATTTTTTAAAAAAGCCTAGACACTATATTGCAAGAAATCATAAATGAAAACCACTTGGACCTGTTAGAGCCAGAGGGCCAAGCAAATCTAGATCATAAGCAAAATAAACTTCATAATACTGAAAGGTGTGCATGAGGAGGGAGGAAAAAGAGAAAAAAAAGAATTAGAATCTAAAGGAGTGTTTTAGATTACCTCTTAGACAGTTGTGGAGTATTTGAGCAAATCATGGTATGTTAATGTAATGGAATACTATATGTGGAGTGTCAAAAGAGATAATTTCAGAGAATCCCTTATAGTATGAATTAACACAGTGAGGTGAACAAAATCAAGAGAACAATTTATACAAGAACAACAATATTATAAAGGAGAATAACTTTGAACTCTGATCAAAACAATGAGCAACTGTATCTCCAGAAGAACTATGATGAAGCATGTTACCTACTTCCTCAGACGAGCTGATGGGCACAAGTTGAAAAAAGAGATTGACACTTCTGGACACGGATCCAGTGTGGATTCATTTTGCTTAACTGTTTTTATTTGTTATAAGATTTCTTTGAAAATTGTTTTCCCCTTTCTCTTGGTTGTGGGTTAGGTTAGCAAGTGATGCCAAAAACGGGAACCTTTGAAATACTTTAAAGTATTCACAGAAGAGAATAGAAAGAAGTTCAGAAGGAAACACAATCAGGACAGATTTGAAAGTAATAGGATTTATTATATAGTTATGTGTTTATATTTTTTTAAAGGAAGCATTTTGAAATGGAGATTCATGTTTTCATATAGATTTCTCTTTTTTGTGTTCTGTGTGTATGGAAGTGATTTTCTTAAAGTATTTAAATTTAGACTAACAAGATGTTTTTTTAATGATAGCCAGACAATCTCATTTTACCAAAGATAAAGATGAAAAGACAAAATAGGTGAGTCATTAGGTACTACCGAAAAAGGAGGAGGAGGAGGAGGAGGAATATCACATCTGGGGAAGAAATTTTATGAGTCAAAAAAATTCCTTTAAATCAAAATCTCAGAAAGCTCTTGCAATAATTTTGTAAGTCTGAAATTTGCTCCTGTATCTGTTCTTTTCTCTGTAGATCCAAGAAGGAAATATCATGTGAGGCTGATGGCATATAACAATATGGAAGATGGTTATCAGGCAGACCAAACAGTCAGTACTCCAGGATGTGTTTGTAAGTACTCAGTTTCCATGAAATAATTTTGCAAAGTTTTTGTAAAGACTGTACTTTTTTTTTTAAGAAAAGAGATAGTTTTAAGAACCTTTGATAGTTAAAGAACCTTTTAAAGATCTATTTCTGTTTTGGTTTGTATCTTACATTACACAGAAGTTTAGTTAAGGAAAGTAATGAGGAATGGTTTTTTGATTGCCTACTAATGTATTTAATACTAAAACTAATTTTCTCATACAGACCATTGTGCAATTTCATCAAGATCAAAGAATATATAGTTTTTAGCCAGAGTTCCACTATTTACTGACTCTCTGAATGACCTTGGCAAGCCTCTTAATATATAGTATATTAACAACATATTATTAATATTTTCTGTTTTCCACTCAAAGTAATGATACCTCCTTCTTTATTGGGCTAATAGAAGAGTAATTGAGATTTAAATATGATAGTGTTTGTATTGTACTTCTTGGAAGAAAGGTACAAAACTGTCTTTGAGAGGTGGTGGTGTTATGACTTTGCTGTAGTCTTAACTAATTTTTTTGTTGCTTACAAAACAGTATTGTCTTTTTTAAAAATAGCTGTTCGCGATCGTATGGTTCCTCCACCACCACCACCTCATCATCTGTATGCAAAGACTAATACCTCATCTTCTATCTACCTGCATTGGGGGAGGCCTGCATTTACCTCTGCACAGATAATTAACTACACCATCCGCTGTAACCCTGTGGGCCTTCAGAATGCTTCTTTGGTTCAGTACTTCCAAACGTATGTAGCTTCTATTAATGGTTTATTCTCTTTTCCCATTTGCACATACTTGTTCCATCATCTTTAATTAGTCCCTAATATTCATTTTGGGTTTTCTGCCTCCTGGCCATATTTAGTCGTTCAGTATTGTGCTTACAATGGGTTAGGCACTATGCTACATGCCCAACAGAAAAAAAAAAGGCAAAAGCAGGGTCCCTGTTCTCAAGGAGCTCACATTCTAATGAAGAAGATACCATGTCAAAATATATGTGTGTATTCACATATATGTATACATGTGTATGTATGTGCATATGTGTGTATGTGAATACACACACAGTACAAATGGAAAGTAATCTCAGAGGAAAGGCACTAGCAGTGAAAAGGACTAGGAAAGATCTCTAATTGTAGGACATGATTTGTTTTTTAATATTCCTAAATCATTCAGCTCATATGAGTGGTAGATTAAAGATAGTTGCTGTTTCTCTCATAAATGGAAGAGCTAAATTAGAACTAAGAATATATTAAAGAACTGTGTTCAGAATCAGGAAATTACTAAATGTATTATTGGATTTTTTTTGTTGTTATTACTTGACAAGTTTAAAACATGTAAATCAATGTTAGGTCCACTAGATTATATATTACTAGCCAAGATACCATGATTATTTTTAACTTTGAACTTAACATCTTTAATGGGAAATCCCCGCCCCAAAAAAGGGACTTTAATATTGATGTGAGGAAAAGAAGATGTACCCTTATTTTAGGCTTTCTTTGTTGTGAGACATTGTCCTATGTACATGGGAAAGCTGATTTGACCCTCAGTATAACTGAGTTTGTGATACAGTAATCCCTTTATGTGGGGACTGATTATATTGTTGATTTCCTCTCTCTGACAGCAAACCTCCGGGTTCATTGTTACATTCATGGAGATTTATTTTATTCTAATAGAACTCACTATAAGGATAATATGAACGGGAAGGAATAGAAGTAATGTTTCCTTTGTATTGATTAGAAGTGTTGAAAAGTCTGATTTTGTGAATCGTGAGCTATCATTATTAACAAATCTATTGTTTATTAACATAGATCAGAAACTCATATGTTGGTTCAAAGCCTAGAACCAAATACCAAATATGAATTTGCTGTTCGTTTGTATGTGGATCAGCTTTCCAGTCCCTGGAGCCCTGTAGTTTACCATTCGACACTTCCAGAAGGTAACGAAATGTCATCTTGTATATATGTTCTGTCCAAATTGACAACTTAGAATGCAACTGTTTTTAGGCAGGTACTTTCATAGTTGCTACCCATCAGATTGTTTTTTGACTGATAGAACAATTTTAGAAATACGTTGAAGGTAATGCATTTCTCCCTCAGATGCTCTGAGATTGTAGTTTATACTCAGAGTTCATGTCTGTATGGATAGTTTTGGGACATCTTAAATACCAAACTGAACTCATTTTTATTAAAGTCTTTCTTAAAATATAAAACTGAAATGGTGTAAGCACCACAGAGTACAGTAGAATTATATAGCTTACTGTGATTTTTAAACATTTTGTTTATTATATTAATACGTCAATATTATATGTACATATTATAATAATGTAATCATAAAGTTCTGTGCACTTTTAAGTAGCCCTGTCATACTGTTAACTCATAATAACTGTAGTCAATTAAAACTTGATGCCTCAGTATTGAGATAAAATACCAATTTATAGTAGAACTGATCCCCCTCTATTCAAACTTCCCCTAGAGTATGATGAAGTATTTTGGTCTCAAAGGCTATGTCTTTTCTGTACTTGCTAGATTAACATGAACAAATATATTATTCATCTTAGAAAAAGGCTTACTTTGGTAAATTATATGGTAATATAAAATATTAAAGGGCATTTTAAAAAGCACAAAAATAATTAGCTTTCAGAGCAGAGTAAACAGTCAGTTTATCATTTTGTAAGGTCCAACATGCACCATTTTCATAAGCCAGCAGTTTATAGAAATTTGTGATCTGGTAAATTAAACCAGAAGTATCAGCATAGGAGCAATTAATTCATTTACTGATCAACAGTCTTAGGTAATCGCAAGTTAACACAAAAGCACGTGCATACATATATGTTACATTTGTGTTTACTCTGTAACTCTGTGCTCAAAGCTAGTTATTAATTAATGAGAAATAACTTATATAATATTTCCTTCAGCTGCTTTTTTATTTTAGATTGGCACATTTTTATAAAATAGGGTCCATAAGCAGACTGCAGGTATAGCAGTACCAAATGGAATAATAGATGCTTGTAGTTCATTTGAATATAATCTTTACAAATAGTGCTGTAATGAGAAGAAAGGCTCCATTGTCATACTATATAGTTGCCCTTTCAATGAGCAAACAGCAAAAACATCTTTAGCAACCCCTTCTGATAGAACAATTCATGTAATTCTCTCTTTAGCTTTTTAAAATTTTCTTAAATTTGAGGAGTGTCTGAAGATAAATAACTTGCCTAGGGTCACACAACCAGCATGTGTCAGAAGCACCAGATTGCCCTCATTAGACCCATCCCTCCTCTCCCATGCCATACTACTTCCTGCCCCTTTGTTGATTTTTGCAGATTTATAATGCTAGAATTTTTTTCTGAGTTTTTTTCCCTTTGTACTTTGTTGTTCCCTCTTGCACTCTATGCCAGTGTTGAGGAGATTACGTATTGAATGAGCCAGCCAGCCTCTTCTATTCAAAAATTTTTGTGCTTCGGTTTAAGTCTCAAAAAGACATGTGTGAAATGAAATTTACCCAATGGTCTTCTTAAGATTTTATTTTGAGCCTTTGATAGTGATTTCCAGATGCTTAATTTTTCTCCTAAGTATATCAGCTAAAGTAATTTCAATACCAATGAACGACTTTCCCCTAGTAATATTGTAAATTTTTGTGTGTGCATAGCACCAACAGGCCCACCAGTTGGAGTGAAGGTGACTTTGATAGAGGATGACACTGCTTTAGTTTCTTGGAAACCCCCTGATGGTCCAGAAGCAGTTGTGACTCGTTACACTATCCTATATGCTTCTAGGAAAGCATGGATTGCTGGAGAGTGGCAAGTTCTACATCGAGAAGGTAAATATGATCATAATTGGCAAGAACTGGGAAAAAGTTAACAGTTAATCTATGATAGGATTATCTATTTTGTCAAAATGATTGATATTCTGAAGATTTGTTTTTAATTCAGTTTTCAAAACTATATTGATAATTCTTTATAAATTTTGAATTTACATTTTCTCTGCATTTGGGCAATTCCTAACAGCTCTTTTTGTAGATGCCTGGCTACTATATATCGTTGTACATAAACAACAAAGCAGCATTAACTTATATCTCACTTATTCAGGTTCATAGAGGCTTTGTACTGTGGAAAAAAAAAAAACTTCATGAGCAAATTGGTAGTATAATTAAGATTTCACCTAATTAAGAAAATGTATTTCAGAAGAGGTTATACACATGTATTATAAAAAGTCCATGTAATTTTAGTGTAAGCAGAGGACAGCCCTCAGAGTCCATTGCTAGATGGTAAGGGCTTAGGTTTACCAGACAAGCTAAAAGCAATGGGCCCTTTGCTGAGGATGTTTAAGGGAAGGGCACATGTTGCAACAAAAGAAATCCAAGGAAGCAAAAGGCAATAGACAATAAGAGAATCAATCAATAAAAATTTCTTAGGTGCTTGCTATGTGCCAGCCAGATAATGTGTTAGGCAGCTAGGATACAAATAGAAAATCGAGATGGTCTCTACTCTCAAATAGCTTCTGTTCAATTTGCAAAGATACTGGAGTGGTTTTCTGTTTCCTTCTCCAGTATATTCAGGCAAACAGAGGTTAAGTGATTAGACTAGTGTCACTCAGTAGGTTTCTGAGGCTGGATTTGAGCTCAGGTCTTCCTGACTCCCAGCCCAGCCTTTTGTCCACTGAACCACTTATCTGCCTCTCTATTCAATTAGGGGAATACAACTTACTTGTGAGATATGTACATAATAAACACCAAGTGATTAGGGTAACTTAGGGATTTTTGGAAAGGCCTCTTAATAGGAAGTATCACTTAAACTGAGCCTTGAAAAGACCTGTAGTTCCTAAGTGGCCCAGTTTAAAAAGAAAGGTTATATTTCAAGGATAGAGGACAGTTTATGCCAGGGCATAGAGATAGGAGGTAAGTCATCACATAGGAAATATAGGCTGGTGTGGCTGGCATGGCCAGTGTGTAGGAGGGATATTGTTTGTGAACTACTTGAAAAGAGTCAGATTATAAACAACTATAGGTGATATACAGGGGAGCTTGCATTTTGCCTTAAAGACTATAGGTGGCCACTAAAGTTTCTTAAGCATATGGGTGGCATGGTCACTAGGTCATACGTGGAAGAGTACTAGATAGTCCCCTGACCACTCTTTACACTGGGACCAAGACAGATGCTTTCAGACTAGGGTAGTCCCTAACAGTGGGACTGGGACTCACATTTCCAAACTAGGTAAGAATAACAATAATAGCAGCTAGCATTTATGTAGCACTTTAAGGTTTGCAAAGTATTTTACAAATATTGTCTCAGTTTATCCTCACAACAACCCTGGGATGCAGGTGCAATTATTATCCTCATTTTATAGATGAGGAAACTGAGGCTAGGAGAGTTTAGTGACTTCTCCAGGGTCACACAGCTAGTAAGTGTCTAAGCTAGATTTGAACTTAGGTCTTCCTGACTCCGGGCCCACCACTCTATCCATTGTACCACCTAGCTGCCCAGTAGTCCACCAATACTCTTCTGACACCTCCAGGCACGTGGATTTTCTTTCTCCCCTTTCCTCCTCCCTTTCGTTTTCACACATTCTCTCTCTCACCTTCCTCCTTTCTTGCTATTGTTTTTCTCCTTCCTTCTCCCTCCCAAGGCCTTGGGAGGGAGAAGAAAGGAATGTCACCACTGAGTTTCCACCACAGTGTTCTTTAGGTCATGTCTGAAAGAAGTTACATTATTCTAGGACCATGGGATCCATAGCTCATGGCAGCTCTGGAGTCAGCTTAGGATAATTACATCTTCAAAATCAGATATAAGGAAGAGGGGGTGCCCAACGCAGTTGTCTTATTGGTTTCTGGCTCCAGGGTCACAGGCAGGGAGGTTTCAATTACCTAAGAAACCAGAAGTTCCCCCCCCCCCAAAAAAAAGAAACCAGAAGTTTCTAGCTAGGATTATGCCAAGTGTAGAAAGTTCCAGAGAAGAGGCTGAGAAGAGATATCGTGATCAGGCAAGAGGAGACATAACTAAGGAATAGATAGCCTATTAGCGAAAGACTAGGTCAGGGAAAAAAAAACCCAGCTATTTCCTGTCTGCAGGAGTAGCTTAAGCTAATCCTTTAATATTTATCCACTTACATTTATTCATTAAAGCAGAGACTCTAATTAGGCAAACACTTTATCATAGAATTTTAGATCTAGAAGAAACCCCAGAGCGTGTAAGTGATTTGCCCACAGTTGCACAGCTAGTTATTAATAAAGGTGGGACTGGAATTCAGGTGTCCCAAATCCTGATTTTGAGCTTATTCCATCATATCTTACTGCCTTTTTTTTCCAGCTTACCTAGTTAAGCTATTTTACACTTGAAACTAATAGAATTTTATTTCTTTAGAAACAATCTCTAACTTAGACTTTTCATGAATTTATATTGATAACCCTAATAAATATTTGCTGCCTGAGTGTTCTGAAAATAATAACTGACATGCAGTGCTTGGAAGTTTGCAGAACACCTTGTGTGCATTCTTTCTTTTCAGCAGTACAACCAACCTATGAGATGGGTACTTCAGGTATTATTATAATAAACCTATTTTGCATATGAGGAAACAGGCCCAGAGAGAGGAAGTAACTCACTAGTGGCCACCCAACTAGTAAATACTAGGGACAATCAGAGTCTTTAGCACTCTATCAATTAAGCCATCCCCAAGTACTTAAAAACCTTTTGCATTAATTTTCTCTAAAGAATTTAGACTTAGTATTAATTGGATTGTCTAAAGGACCAAAATTCTTAAGTACTCATTAATAAGCCCAATTACTGTAACCTCAAGATTTAGATGATATTGACAAAGGAAACAGTCTTGGTTTTTCTATATTCAAACAGGAATAGTTTTGGAAGCCATAAATATATTGCCTAAAATCAGCTGAAGCTATGGAAAAGTCAGTCTGTTGGTTTATTATCAAACAAGCTATTTCAGGACATTAGAGAACCCCTTAACAGATCTAAGATGATATTTAGGGATACAAAATTCAATGGTGATTTTGGGGTATTATGATATGAGAAATGGTGCAGTAGATAGAATGCTGGGCCAAGAATCAAGAAGACCTGAGTTCAAATCTAGCCTCAGATACTTACTACTAAGTGACCTTGGTCAAATCACTTAACCTCTGATTACCTCAGTGTCCTCAACTGCAGAATGGGGATAATAACAGTGCCTACCTAGCCAGGTTGTTTTGAGTATCAAATGAGATAATTTTTGTAAAAAGTTCTTAGCATGATGCCTGGTACATGGTAAGTGCAATATAGATGTTTATTCCCTTGCTCTTTCCTTTTCTAGTGTTTTAATTTCCTGGGAAACTAATAATGACATCTAAAGAAGTCATCTGATCTAAGTTGATAAGAGGCTAAATTTAATATTTTATGACAGAATAGATATATTGAGTGTAGCTACTTGTATATCTGCTGATACCAGGATTGATATATATATTTCAGTACTTATCTTTATCACAACATGAATCTCTTCCTAATCTTACCACACTAAACTATATGTGTCTTTACACTGATTATCCTACAGAATTGTTATGAGAACATCAGTTTATCACACTACAACCCAGTGTACAAAACCTGAGCCAGGATTACTTGTTATGGGTTCAGAAACACTACATATATGAAGTCTTGTTTATAAGAATGATTGCCTGAGCCATGTTTTACTGGTTTGTGGAGCAAGCAGATTCTGGGTCTTTATATCTGCCCCTAGGCAAGCCCAGTTTGCGTTATGGCACTTGAGCTATGACCAAAGAGTGTTGTATTTATAAAAACAAAGAATTTTAAGTATGAGGGCAAGATATTTTGGGGGTTTTTTTGTCACTTTCCATCTAGAATTTTTAAAATGATACATTTTGCTTGGTCTCAAATTTATGGTCATTTCTTTCTCAAGAAATGTTAGTACTCCATCTAGTGGGGAAAGGTAACTTCATTCCATTTGACCTGGAGGTCATTTTTTTTTTAATTTAGAACATTTTGGTTTTCCCAGTTACGTGTAAAAATAATTTTTAACATTCATTGTTTGAAATTTTGAGTTCCAAATTCTCTCTCTTCCTGTCTCCCTTCCCCCACTCTGAGACATTAAGCAGTTTGATACAGGTTATACATGTGTAGTCATGCAAAACATATTTCCATATTAGTCATGTTGTGAAAGAAAACACAGACAAAAAAAACCACCACAAGAAAAATAAAGAAAATGAAAAATAATATGCTTCTATCTGCATTCAGACTGTGTCAGTTCTTTCTCTGGAGGTGGATAGCATTTTTTTATCCTGAGTCCTTTGGAATTGTCTTGGATTATTGTATTGTTGAGAAGAGCTTAATCATTCACATACGATCTTGCTGTTACTGTTTACAATGTTCTCCTGGTTCTGCTCTCTTCACTTAGCATCAGACCATACAAGTCTTTCCAGGTTTTTTGAAATCTGCCTGCTCATCATTCCTTATAGCACAATAATATTCCATTACATTCATATACCACAACTTGTTCAGCCATTCCCCAGCTGATGGGCATCCCCTGAATAGGTCATTCTAATTTTAACAGTGCATGAGATCAAAATGATCTGTTATTTATAATTTTATTGTTCCATGCTATTTCCAAGAATGAGTTCACTTAAAAAATGGAGGATCCTTATGTTTATAAATCTTTTGTGTTAGAAATATGCAGCTTTTTCTCTAATTCAGTCTTCTGATATATGGGGTAGGGAAGAAACACTGAGAGCCACTCACAGGAAGAGAGCAATCTAACTGTATTCTTTGAAGGAGAAAAAAAAATCTTTATCTCTCTCTTGAAGATTAGAACCAAAGAATATAA